GAGAGACAGACAGACAGAGAGTAGACAATAACAGAGAGTAAGGTCAAGAGAGAAAGACGAAGAGAGATATAGGTGAAAGAGAAAAAAAGAAAGAGAGAGAGAGAGAGAAAAGGGGCGAAAGAGAGAGAGGGGGCGGCGAGAGAGAGAGAAAGAGAGAGGAAAGAAATAGGTGAGAGAAGGTGGAGGGGAGCGAGCTAGAGGAGAGAGGGAGGAGAAGATGTAGCAGGTATGGGAGGGAAGAGGGAAGAGAGCGAGGAGAAGACATAGGGAAGAGGGGAGGAGAGCGAGATATGGGGGAGCGGGAGGAAGAGAGACGTAGTTGGAGATAGAGGTATGGGAGAGAGGCAGGAAGAGAGACGTAGATTGAGATAGAGGTATGGGAGAGAGAGAGGAAGAGAGACGTAGATGGAGATAGAGGTATGCGAGAGAGGGAAAAAGAGAGACGTAGATGGAGCTAGAAGTATGGGAGAGAGGGAGGAAGAGAGACGTAGATAGATATAGAGGTATGGGAGAGAGGGAGGAAGAGAGACGTAGATAGATATAGAGGTATGGGAGAGAGGGAGGAAGAGAGACGTAGATGGAGATAGAGGTATGGGAGAGAGGCAGGAAGAGAGACGTAGATGGAGATAGAGGTATGGGAGAAAGGGAGGAAGAGAGACGTAGATGGAGATAGAGGTATGGGAGAGAGGGAGGAAGGGAGACGTAGATGGAGATAGAGGTATGTGAGAGAGAGAGAGGAAGAGAGACGTAGATGGAGATAGAGGTATGGGAGAGGAGGAAGAGAGACGTAGATGGAGATAGAGGTATGGGAGAGAGGGAGGAAGAGAGACGTAGATGGAGATAGAGGTATGGGAGAGAGGGAGGAAGAGAGACGTAGATGGAGATAGAGGTATGGGAGAAAGGGAGAAAGAGAGACGTAGATGGAGATAGAGGTATGGGAGAGAGAGAGGAAAAGAGACGTAGATGGAGATAGAGGTATGGGTAAAAGGAGAGAGGAGGAGAGACGTAGATGGAGATAGAGGTATGGGAGAGAGGGAGGAAGAGAGACGTAGATGGAGATAGAGGTATGGGAGAGAGGGAGGAAAAGAGACGTAGATGGAGATAGAGGTATGGGAGAGAGAGAGAGGAAGAGAGACGTAGATGGAGATAGAGGTATGGGAGAGAGGGAGGAAGAGAGACGTAGATGGAGATAGAAATATAAGAGAGCGGGAGAAAGAGAGACGTAGATGGAGATAGAGGTATGGGAG